AGACATTGCTTTTCTGAACGAGGCTGCAACGGATTCTCATAGTAATCGTTTTTCGGTAACTTCATTTTTTCGGACCGTAAACCGTCAAAGATTTATTAGTGAGTGTCCTCCGAAGACTGTTCAACTTCCATGCATTTCGAACGGCTACCGAAGGAAGAAAATTGAAAGTTTAATAAGGTCTACATTACTTAATTAATAATTATTTCAGGCTTTACGCTTTGTAAAATTATGGAACATGAAAGTTGTAATTTAAGGTCGCTGTTTTCGTTTGAGTTTTTCTGACTTAATACTGTTCTGATTGATCCATTTGTTATGATTTATTACTTTGTCAGAAATAGGAGTTATTTTCAACAAAATTGCAGTCATCGTGCTTATTCTTGTCCAAGCCTGGTGAAGGAAGAATTGGAAGGGTCTAGTCAAAATATTTTGGTTATTGACGAGGCAAAGAAACGTTCGGTTCCTGTAACTCTTCCGACGTCAACCTTGGCCAGCTTGATCGAAAAGGAGTTTCCGTATTTGGCATTCTTGCGAACGCTGCTTTTACCAGATGCTGGTGCCTTTTGTATTCGTTTATTTTTGATAGAGCGTTATGAATCATTTGATTAAGTTGCAACAGTGTTTGCGTCGGTCTCTCCTGAAAAGTTTAGAGAATAGCGTTAGTTAATTTTATCGATTTTAAATATTTGCAGAGATAATTTTCTCATTCTTATTATTCTTTAAATATGATTTAGATGAAGGGGCGATCGATAGTGATTTAAAAAAAGAACAAGAGAGGACAAGAGAACTTTATATGGAAGCTAGTTTAGAGCACCATAAAATTTTGAAGCGGATGTGCTTAGCTGATCGTCTCCCTGCAAAGATCTATGATGACATGTCGAATTTGATTCAAGGTCTACCTTTGGAAAAACAGGTGCATTTTTACTCTGTTGTCCTGCTCGTGGGATGTTATGTGGTAAAGTATACACAAGTTTTAGAGGGAAATTTTGATTAGCCGTCTTGCCTTAGTAAACCAGCATCTTATGTACGAACGCTCTGGAAGGTTGTTGCATGCGGAACGCAACAGAAGACTGTTTGGTAATTTTCTGATTTGGGAATTTTAGTTCTTTGAATTAGTTTTTACTCTTATTCTATTTTTACTCCTTTTAAATGCTGCTTTTTGGAAGCAGAAATCTAATTTTTTCTTTTTTTTTGAGTTATACATTGCATATTGCTTAGGTTTTTGTTTAATATTAGAAACAATAAAAAGTCAACACATGAAAATTTAAGGTCGCATTAAACAGCAGAAGCTTTCTGATGCTCAAATCATCACGCTTCAAAAGGAACTTCATGAAGCTCAAGGGGTAATTTTGAACGGATATTTGAAGGTTCTTGCTAGGTTTAAGCGTAAGTTTAAGAGTGTAGCTGTGCGTTCAATTCTGTGTATCAAGCACCACTTGAAAAGCTTTTTATTGGCAAACATCGACCAATGTTATGCTCTTTGAAAATTAAAGAGTATCCAGTTACTCATTCATCTCATGGCGTTAGACGTCGGTTACGGCTATGTTTTTGCTTTAGAGACGAGAAGAGCTTGTCAACGCGTTATCGGGACTTCGGAAAAAGGAGAAACTGGCATTGAAAGAACGACAGGAATCTGAAGCGCGTTACAGAGAAAAATTGCGCCAGTTGAACATTGTGCATTTTATTTCACTAGCATAATTTAATTTTTTTGCGTACAATTGTAACACTTCTTCGAAGACTATGGGCAAAAAGTAGAAAAAAGACTGCTCTGTCTTCTTTATAATGGAGGTCTTATTGTCTCCGCAAACATTTTCTATATTTGTATTCAACAGTAACTTCAGTTTTAGTGAGTGCAATTTGGGAAATTAAGAACTATTACTGTTTTTATAGTAAAGATTTTGTAAGAAAATATCAAGTTTTACTTCCTCATTCAAATTTTTCAGGAAGCTGAGAAGTCCAGAAACGAACTTGAATTTTTAAAACTTAACATGGAAAGGATTGCCGAAGAGAAAGAAAGACTTGCGAAGGAGAGAAGTGATTTGCAAAGAAGGTTTGTTTTTGTACTTTTCGAGAATGTGAAGTCGTTTTTATTTTATCATATTTTCAAGAAGTATGAAGCACGAACAAATTGTTTTGTTGCTTAACTTTTAAATTTGTCGGTTTTCAATTGTATTTTCCGAGACAACTTTCATTATAGAATTTTCGATTATGTTACATATATTTTTCACTCTGTAGTCGCTTCATTGTTTTTCAGAAATTGGCTGTGTTAGTGAAAAAATTGTTGAGGCTGTTCAAATCTTTACAATTTCGGTCATGAACTTGAACTTGCTTAGAACTGTTGACAGTTTCAGTTACTTAGTTGAAAATTAGTGTTTTGGTTGGCTGTTGCTAGAGCACATGATTTTTAATCACTGCATTCGCGATTTATTCGTAGCAGGTTAAATGTGCGGTGACAAATTAGTTTAACCTAGAGTACTTCTTGAGAAAGTGGTAATCTTTGTCTGAAGTTTTTCCTTGTGACGTACCCACTTTATTGAAGCGCATCAATTTATAGATGTGAGGACGGAGAAGTTTTGAGGAAATTGACGGAGGCTAAAGTCACGGTTTTGGAGGCATCACGTTTGGAGTTACGAAAAGCTCATGAAACTAACCAAGCTCTTCGCGACAAGTTGGCTTTGGTAATGAATATTGGTTTTATTTTCTTTTTTATTTCTGTTTTGTCGCTTTACTTGTTGTATTTCTTTGCCTTTTCATTCTATGTTTTCTTGTAGTATTCTTAGGTGTTTTCTCAACTTTATTTGCCCATGCTTATGAGAACCGATCTGTTTCATTGAAAAAAAGTTTGCAGCCTTATTTTTACAGAATGAATTGAAAGCGAAAAAACAGAATGCCGGAATAACTTCTGTACTTCCGATCTCTGGTGAGCGTGATGAGCGGGCTTTTTCTTCCCAGGTAACTTTTCGTGACGTGAAATATTCTTTGTAAGTAATGTGGTGATTATAGATATTCTTCACCTTGAGATCATGGTTGCTTTTTTATTTTTTTATTTTTTGTTCTTTACTGATTCTTGAACTCTCTTTTGCCGACATATTTTCCACAGGACGATTACTTGATTAATACATAATAATTACTTTACCTTCTGTTTTGGCAACACGGACAGCTTCGCCTTTGTAGCGTAGGGGGTGTTACTGATTTTCAAGGAAACTGACTTTATTTGCATATCTTTTGTCTTTTTAGATGCAATTTAAGGTACTGTAGAGGTAGGTTATTACTAATTTGGGGAAATTTTAAGAACTTGTTACAATCTGTTTAATAAGTGGTGTGCAGAGGACTTTAAAACGACTGTTGTTACGGTGAATAATGGTTCAAATTTGGGATTGGTCTATTTGACGGCACTTTTGAAGGATTTTTGTTTTGCACGTATAAGAAAGATTAACGGAATGTGTTCAGAAAAAACATGGTTTAATTGTTTTTACTGTATTTCTTTTTACATTATTTCATTTATAAAATTTGTATTACGGCATTTCTAATTGGAATCTCAGATCAAGATTAGGTGATATGTTTTTGCTAGAGAAGTTATGTTTTTTTGTTTTCAAATTGTAATTGTATTGAATTAGGTTGAAAAACTAAGGAAAGAACTTCGAAACGAACAAAATGCCAATGAATTGCTTCGAATCAAAAAAGCAGAAATTGAGGAGGATTGCAAAGCAAAGAAGGAGAAGTGTATGGATCTTGAGGCATTGCTAGAAAGGGCTGCTGTGGTTTGTTTTGACAAAATTTAACATTTATTTTCTTTGGAGCTGCATTATTTACTTGTCGGATTGCAGACCACTTCAGCAAAGAAGTTGAATTTCAGGTTCATAAGCAACAAAGTGATGCTGCTCAGCATAAGTATTTGTCTTTGTTATCTGTGTGTCAGAAACAGCAAACACATATATTAGAGTTATGTGCCTACATTGAGGTTAGTTCTGCTTGCCTCTTTGTACTGAGAAACTTGAAGATATTAGGTCTTTTAAAAACGTCGTCAGAGGCGCGTTTTTTTGATTGATGGAAATTGTTACTCTGTCGACTGAAGTGAACCAACTTTTAAATTTTGAGATTCTGAATTTAGCAGCAGTTAGGCAGACGAACACCAGTGATGGAAGGATCAACTGCACCAATACCGCGAGGCGTTGTACCTGAAGAGATTCTTTCGTTTGATAGCCGTGGGTCAGTAGTCATTAGTTGACTTAAATTTACAGCTTAAAAAATTTGATAAGTAGTTTGTTGATTTAGATTTTTATAATATTTCATTTAAGTGGGTAATTTGATGTATAAACAGTTTTAGGTGCTAAAGAAGTGTAATTTTGCACTGAACAACCGAGTTGACTCGAGATTAGTTGTTTTTTTAGAAGAATGTTTTGATGAAAAAAAAAAACGAGATTTTACTTAGCATATTGTAATCTAAGAGGATTTTGTATTTAGTGACTCCGATAGTACAGGGATTTTTAACAACGTGGTCTCTCCTTCTGAAGCTTTACACACAAGCGGTCTTTTCGGTTTTTCTCCAGTTATTGTTGATGAACTTACGAGAAGAGAAAGCGAATTTCAATCTCAACAGGACGAACAGTGGCAGGAGTCGTAGCTTCATTTTACTTCTTCAGATTTAATAAAACTCTGAACAGGTCTTTCTTAGAAGCTCTTTTCAATGATTTTTGTTCTTCTGGTTATTTCAACGTTTGGTGGTCTTTGATTACCAAATTTGTGCCTTTTTCTTTTCGTTTTTTTCTGTTAAAGTTTTAAGAACAAATTTTATTTTTACTTTTTTCTGAAATCGTGGCTCAACGTACTGAGTAAGCTATTTTTGAATAAATGGAAGTTTTTTTGGATTTTGGTGGTGCACAGTTGATGTTAGAAAAATCAGGTTGGGATCTTGTAGTTCTTTTTAAGTTTTGACTGATATTTCTGAGGCATTGCAATTAAATGTTTGCCCTAAAATTAGGGCTTTTTTTCGAGGAAACTGTGTGCTCCTACTTTTAGAATTATAGAAGCTTTTGCCGAATAAGATTGAGTTATGTTGTGTTTCCCAGCAATCAGTCCTAATGCATGAATTTTCTTCTAAAGACTTATGCATTAATTTTTAATTCAATTTTTTCTTCTTAATGATGTGGCTCATACCTCTATTTCGGGTAATTTCTGTGTTAAACTATTGGCACTTGAATTGCTTTTATTTCCGTGAATAGTATTGGTATATATACTTTTAGATTTGTGACAGGTATATCTATTTTCTGGGTAGTTTTTTTGTCTTCACATAAACTTCTGCTTGTTTATTAGCGAAGGTGTAAAGCATTCAGAATAGTTTTTAAAGATTTTTTTTCAGATTTTTGAGATTGCATGTTCATAATGTATTTATTTTTGTACGGTTTCTGTTCTGTTCTTTTTCAAAGGTTATTTTGCAAAATTTTTTAGATGCTATGTTCTTTTGGAACTTTTGCAAATTTGACTTTTATCTATCCTGTGATGGCGCGTAGTTTTTGTTATTTCTTTATTGTAAGTTACAATTTATACTGTACTTTTGCTGAGAAGTATTATGTAAACCATTTTGGGTCACTCGTTTTATGAAATTTTGTGTGGATCACTGCTCGTGACTTTTGCATTTTAGCATAGAGCCTTTGCGGCAGTGCAATTAAGAAATTATATATATATATATATATATATAT